GTCTTACAACTGTAAGAAACTGCATTCTGCCACCTCTCTATAAACCTGAAGGAGGATTCCAAATGAAAACACAGCTTTTGGAAGCCCAGAACAGAGATTCTATCCACATCTTGCCCAGATTTCTGACCAAAGAACTAGAAGTAGATAAATGGGTGTTGTTTCGCCAGGGGTGGCAGTGTACGATTGAATTGATGAATTGATATGCACACTAGTTACATAAAATAAAATCTTTCTGAACTTTTTCAGTGTTTTACACTTCATAATTATCTGGGATGCAATTTAATACACTCATATTTCATTCATTAAGTCAATAAAAATTAATTTAGTGCCTATGATGAACCAGGTATCCCTTCATATGCTCACGTGCCTGACACTGCAGAAGTTTCCCAAGACCGAGGTGGAGACACCGGAGGGTTTTAAGTGGAGAAATGACACACTCTGACTGACAGGAGCAGGACCACTGTGAAGACAACAGTAATGTAGCAGGTCATGGGACAGTGCTAGTGTCACAATTCACGAGTGACAATGTGGTGGGGACTAAGGGGAGAGGAGGGTCTGAAGGATGAGAGGGACTGAAGGAAGGGCTGGAGAAGCAGGTGGTGAGGAAAAGGAGCAGAGGAAAGAATTCGAAAGCAGCAGAATTCTTAGGTTTAAATACATTGTTTTATGGATTTTAATATATCCATCTACAGAGCCTAGCAGGGTGTCCTTGGCAGTTGGCCTTTAATACCTTATGTGGGTCTGCCTAAAAACTAATTGTTTTTATGTTAATCGGGTTTTAAAAATACTAAGCGTTCCTATAAAATATACACAACACTTAGAAGAGGATACTTCCTGAAAACAGGCAGTGCATGAGCACTGGTGAGGGGCATTGTGACTGCATTGAACAGTTGCAACTGTGAGGTGAATAGTCTGTACTGGCTCCTGGTTGCAACATATAGTAACACAGTGTGCTACTTTGTATTGAGGAAATATCCTGGACTCACACAGAAACTCAGAGCTATGGAATGATGGTACATTTAAAATACGACAAGCCGGAGTCACAGATACATTGTTTGCGAAAGTGAAATTTAGGAGCTTTGTGAGTCCTGTTGTAACGTTTTTGGACACATTTATAAATCAAGGGGCCAAAATCACAGTTTTTACCGATTAGATTCCTGATCATTCAGGGGTTACCAAGATTCTACTACCCAATATATTTAATAAACAAACAGCAAACTGGTCTCTATTCTGTCTCATGCACTCAGGCGCAAATTTTCCAGAGTAAAAAAAAAAAAAAAAAGTCCTTATACCTTCATTCCCAGAGTAAGCTCAGTCTCTGGCACCAAGCTCCGTGGGGTGAGTTTTCTTCTAGAAAAGTCCAGGGGGACAGGTAAGGAGTGGGAGGCAGGGAGTCCAGTTCAGGGATGGAGATTCCGCGATGAAAAGTGAAGGGAGAGGGACCGGGCCTATGCCCAGGGGTTCTCCCTGGTTTCTCAGACAGCTCCTGGGCCAAGACTCAGGGAGACATTGAGACAGAGCATTTGGCACAGGAGGAGCTGGGTCAGGGCGAAGTCCCAGGGCCCCAGGTGTGGCTCTCAGTGTCTCAGGCCCCGAAGGCGGTGTATGGATTGGGGAGACCTAGCGTTGGGGATTCCCCATCTCCGCAGTTTCTCTTCTTCTCACAACCTGCGTCGTGTCCTTCTTCCGTATGGATACTCACGACGCGAACCCCGTTCTCACTCCCATTGGGTGTCGGATGTCTAGAGACGCCAATCAGCGTCGCCGCGGTCCCGGTTCTAAAGTCCCCACTCACCCACCAGGACTCAGATTCTACACAGACGCCGAGGATGGCGGCCATGGCGCCCCGAACCCTCCTCCTGCTGCTCTCGGGGGCCCTGGCCCTGACCCAGACCTGGGCGGGTGAGTGCGGGGTCGGGAGGGAAACGGCCTCTGCGGGGAG